GGAGATGAAACTAATAATTCACGCCAAGTTTAGGGGTATTTTCAATACTTTTCTCACAATATAAATTTAGAAGTGTTTTTCATAATTAAAACATGACAAATGACATAAATTGAATAGAGTGATTTTTAAAAGTTATGCAGGAAGTGTTTTTCTTTTGGATAAGTTGTTTTAGGGAAAGTGTGTATCAGATATAATAAAAGATATTAGGGATAAAATCGTAAAAGGGTTGGTCAAACCAAAAGTGTTTAGAAGTTGTAAAACCATAAGCTAAGGGTGACCAACTTATGGCTTTTAGCTGATTTGTCTTATAAGCACTTTTTGTGTAATGTCGTAGATAAGTCAAAAAGTACCTATAAGATGGTTTGATCAACTTATATGCTTAGCCAAACACCCTCATAGTGGTAATGTAACACCCCGTATTCAAAACAGACCAAAAATGCAGATTTTGAGAAATTGCAGGTGCAACTTACGGTCACCATCCACGGACCGTAGGTCAGACCACGGCCCGTGCTGGTGGACCGTCGTTCACCACTGCAACCCCTCCCCAGCCAGCTCAGAAAAATTGGCTAAGTCTCGACCCACGGACAGACCCACGGTCCGTAGATCAGACCACGGCCCGTGGTCTGTGTCCGTGGATCAAGACCTCCTTACCCAGCCTCTGACACGAACTACGGTTGACCAGCACGGACCGTCGTTCGATCCACGGTCCGTAGGTCTGACCGTAGATCGAAGGTTAGCAGCCAGTTAGCTGAAAATTCTGATGGGTCAACTTCAGATGGTCATAAATTTTAGCACAAAATGAATTATGTGTCCCATGAGCTATGGTTAGATAGATAATTGAATTATCTTTCCAACGCCACCGAGTTTGCTAAATTCCGACCTCCGAGTAAAAAGTTATGCCCGTTTTAGTGAAGGCCTGTCGAACAGGCTTGACTTACGGACGCAATCTACGGACCGTAGATTGACCTACGGCCCGTAGGTCCACTCCGTAGGTCACTCCGACAGCAGTTAATTCAGGGGTCCTTTGGTCTTTTCCTATTTCGTTTAACCCCTAAGATACGTCGTTTAGACCCTAAATCATGAGGTTTTAATTAGTCTAAGCCTAGAAACATAACTAGAACTTACCTAAGTCAAATTCATTAATCAAAACTTAGAAAATTAGAAGCAAGAAGGGAGAAAAAGGTCAAGAACCCTAGTTCAAGAACGCAGCGAGGTTTCTTCAGTTCCAGCCCCGAAATCGAAAGATTTCTCCGTGGAATTCGTCACCAGGTATGTGGGATTTCACTAGTGGGTTCCTTTCGCCCATTAGGTCCCTAGAATTCAGTCAGATTCTTGATTCCATGATTATGAACAGACCTAGGGTTTCTAGAATTATAGCAGATCATCATGAATTAGTTATTTAAATGTTCCAAATCAGATTATCATGTTATTGCTCAGTTTATCGCATGAATTTCAGAACCCTAGCTATGTATTTCTTTAGTTCTTGAATTACACATGCTAGGTCAGATATTTCAGTATTCAGTTTTACATGCCTCAGTTTATGAATGCATCATTATCAGATTAATTGTTGCATTCTCAGTTTGCATGTTCAGTTTCGAGCTATCCAGTGTTTACAGAAATTCAGTCATAACTAGTTAACCACTTAATTCATTGGGAGTAGCATAATACCGAGTTGGACTAGGGTTTCAGCGTACCCATATAGTCCCAGAACTACGAGCCACGTAGGTGTAAGTCCCCTCTGTGGGCAACATCAGTTTAGTGATCACGCCAGCATGCCTTTATACCTCTGGCAGGGTATATTGGGTCCTCTCGATGGGGCGTATACATCGGACTCCACATTTATCTCATGTGGTTTTATGTCGGTTATTAGTAGCTCCCACAGTTCAGTCAGACTCTATTGCATTGACCATATTTCAGTACAGTCAGTATCCAGTCTCAGCATGTTATAAATTTGGTCATTGCATTCAGTTAGCTCAGTATTCAGTATTTCAGTATTTCAGTATCTATATCATGTTCAGATTATATCATTGCTCAGTATGCTTTGTTCAGTTATATGTTCTTTCAGCTCTACTCTATCCTGTATGCTCAGTACCTTTCAAGTACTGACGCATACGTGCGCTACATCTTCTCGTGATGTAGGTTCAGGTTCTCAGCATCCAGATCACGCTTAGATCGATTCCCGATCTTCAGTTCAGCAGAATCAGTTGGTGAGTCCTCATTCTTCGGGGACAATAGTCATGAGTTCTTTTCAGTATTTTTAGTCTTTAGTTTCAGTTTTGCTAGATCTAGTTGGGGCATGTCCCAACATTTCTAGTCAGTTTAGAGGCTTATTTCAGACATAGTTAGATTCAGCCTAGTATTTTGAGTTTGATATTCCTTTTGTATTAAACTCTCAGATTTGATATATTCAGCTATAGTATATGGGTATTCCCCATCTTTTCAGATTTATTTATGATTTAGCTTCCGCATCAGTTTATTTTCTTTAGTATGCTCATGATCATGCCAGCAGGGTTAGCTTGGGATCACTTGTGGTCCTAGGTCCCGTGTCCGCGTCTCGGGGGTAGCTCGGGGCGTGACAGGTAAGGCTAAGATGACTTTAGTATTGTAAATTTACAACGTAAAATTATGCAGTATTCAGGGAAAGCAATATTGATTTTGAGTTCTCGTTGTCCAATTCTTTTATTTATTAAGGTTGCAATTTCTTTGTTTGCTACTATCAGATTCTTCAAGTTCTTACTAATGCATTGCTGCGGAAAGTGCAATCAGTCCTAGTTAAGTTTCCTCTTTCCATTGTTTGGGGGTTGGGGGTGGGGGGTGCGGGGTGCATAAGGATTGGGATTAGTGTGTTATATACATATTGCAAACAAGCAACAATGGTTTGTTATTTTTTCCTTTTTGTTTTTCACTGTGACAAGGGAGGTGGGGGGATAATGTAGTAGAAAAGGCTTTCCCCCTCTAACCATGAGGTTTAGTGTTCAAGTCACCAACGGAGCAAATTGGGAAAAGCCATAGTTTTGTTACTGGGATGGAGGTTTGAGAGGGCCTAGTTCACCATATCAACAAAAAAATATTTTCATATTTGCACACCAAGGAATCTTTTTCTTGAAACTACGAGGCAACACTCTATGTCCAGTGGTTTGTTTCTTTTTGAGAAGGATATTTTCAGTGGTTTATTATACCTTTTGGTAACAGAAACATAGCACTATCAACAGTTTGCGTGCCCAATGTGCACTTCTTCTGTGGGTTTAATGTTGATGTAATTGGTATATGTAATTGCATCTTTCAAGAAACTTGGCTCTTCTATACTGTATGCAATTTCTGGTATCAATATATGATATAGGTCATCTTATGATATTTCCAGTTGATTTTTATGGGTTGGGATTTTACCAGTTTGTTTTTCCCGATTTCCTGCAATTTAGTGCATCGTATATATTATTATCTATATTGAAATTTTCTTTTCTCTTCAGGCTTATCGTTCAAGCATGTTGAAGGCTTTCAAAAAGTCCCTGGATGAGGGGGCTTTCTCCTTCGTAATCGGTATGGTATTTTGGGGAAAGATGATCGGTCTTACTCTGTAATTCCACATGTCTTCTTTTGGTCCATAATCCAAGACTGACGTGTGAAATGATTTGCATCACTGTTTCCTCTTACAGCTGGATGTCTATTCTTTTGCTTATTTTGTCTGTGAGATTCACCGAAATTTGCTAGTGAAATAAATTACATGCTGCTGTCAGTTGTTTTGTTGTGTCATCTGTTGCTCTCTATTGGAGCATATTTCTATAGAAAACCTCCATTTTTGTTGGATTTAGGGAACTTGAAGGTAGGTAGTATCCCATAGGTTTCTTGATAATAGGATGATGAAGTGCACCTTTGACAACACTGGGCATGGGATTCCTCCACCTTTAGATGTGCTCTGGAGTATCTGAAGGAGAGCAAGAGTCTGGGTTTTTAGATATAAAATGATAAAAGGAACAGACTAGCCTATGATTGTGTTGGAAATGCTACTTAGAAGTCCTACATTTACTTTTGTGTAGTTTTGGCATAAAGGATTCTCATAGCTTGTAAAATAATTGGTCCTGGTGCAGGATACAACTTGGTGAGATTCCTCATGCAACTATTGTTTAACTTGTTTGGCTCATCATGATGTCCATGTTGGTGCTTATTTGGCAATATTATGCCTGTAACTGCTCTGTTTAACTTTCTCTGGTGTTTTTGTTTCGTATTACAACATTTAGTTGGTAAACACGTGCAATGAGATATTCCGTGTACTTGGAACCCATTTGATAAGCTTGCCTTATTGTTTTGTCATTTTCAGAAGTCGAACCCCTTGCCTGATGAAGAGAAGTTGACGTCTATTCGACATAATGGTGAACCAAAGAGGCAGAACATATTTCAAGAGAGATTACGAGCAGAGCACGAGTCGTTTAGGGCTGTTTCCGAGTCCTTCAGAACTGGCTCTGACAAGAGGTGGCAGCGGATATTTGGGCTTAATGCTGAAGATGAATAGTACATCTGTAGATAGGGATTTAAAATTGCATATTAGCAATTTTGTATGTTTTGTTAATCCTTGCCATAGAGAATGTTGTTTATGTTTGACTTGACATATATCTTAAAAAAGTAATTAATAAAATTCTAAGTTTACAATAACACATTCTTGGAATATATTAAATTCAATATTTTGAGAAATGATTCTAGTAAACTTAACAAAGTGATTAATTATGCTTTTGGTGGACAAATAAATGTGGACAGTGAGAGTATAAAGTAGAGGAAGAGATGAGTTGGCAGTTGGCACAAGAAGACGAGAGAGTTTTCACTCCTCCCATCTATTTGTGGTCTTGGCATTCAACTTTATAGCGGCTAAGATGTGTAGTGGTGGCCCATTTCTTACATCATATCCATGGCCAATAATAAACTTTTGCGTATATAAAGACTATACTTGTTTATTGGGTTTAATTTTGTGTGTACAATTGGTTACATTCAAACTAAACAATATCAATTCCCAACTTCCATCTTTAATGGCTGTAGGTGTAAGGCACTACACCGTAAGGTTCATGGAACTTGAATCATCATCACTCATGAAATGCTCGCTCTCGTCTTCACCTCTATATAGAAAGCAATCAGTTCACTTCTCCAACTCTTCTAGTCAAGTAAGATATAATGTATCATCTCAATTCTACAATTTGTGTGCTCTGTTTTTTCTTTATCTTCTAACTTTCGAATTATTGCATATTTTGTAATTAAACTAAAACAGAGATATAATCAATGTTGTTCATTGTCGATGAATGGATGCCAAGGCGATTCAAGAGCTCCTATTGGAACCGTTGAAACTCGAACTTTGCCTGCAGTTTCTAGCCCTGCATTGGCCATGGAACGTCTCAATTCTGCCATCTCCGATATGATTAAGTCCGATCCTCCGCCTTACAATTCCGGCATTATTCGCCTTGAGGTAAATCCCCCAAATTTATCTGTGTATTTTATCACTCACGTTTATGTGCATCCATCAGAGGGAAACGGAACAAGATACTAATCATACTCCTTTTTTCTTTTGATTTTCAATCCGTGTCCAATATCCACTTTGTAGTCTAACTAAATCTGAAACATTTCGATAAAGCATACTTATAATATTCCTATTCCTACTCTAGAATCCAAATTCACGCCAAAAAGTCATAAAGTGTACTAATGATACTCCTTCTGTAGGAATCCTACACCGAAGTTATCTATCGTGTGTATATGACACGTGGTTGGCTCAGATTGGCCTAGAGAATTCTGATCTTATTCTTATCTATCTCCAAAAAAACTGTTTCCAAAGTCCAAATGATTAATTGTCTTCACTCTACAAATAATAGCTCGTTAGGCTATATTTTATTAAAGTCTTATCTATTTCCTCCCTTTATTTTTATTTAAAAATAAGAGGTGCTTTAATTTTATGATGATGATTTAAAAAATAAAAAATAATGTGTTCGGGATTATTTGAATTAGGTGCCTTAAAATGAACTTGAAACTCTTAAACCGCCCAACAAAGTTCTATCTTGTGTTTAAGAGATTTAAAATCTACATATATACACAAAAAATTTAAAGAAAAAATACTCTTTCTGTCTCACTTTATGTGACACTTTTTGCTTCTCGAGAGTCAAATAATCTAATTTAGACCATGAATTCGGGCATAGAATCTTTTAAAAAATTTAAACAAAATTTATATATTTAGAAACTATGTAAAAGTACTACAAGTCACAATGATTGACAATTTTAAAAATTTAAAAGATATATGAAAAATTTACGATAAAAAATAGATTTATTTGAATCTCGAAATTCGAAAGATGTCACATAAATTGGGGTGGAAGGAGTACCTTATATGTATAGTGTATTTTATTGCCAAGAGGTTCGGATGAACACCATCGCCTAGATCTGCCCCCAATCAAGAAGACATTAATACAGTTTTTCCAATTTTACCCTTATTTAAACAGGATAAGTTAGTAAAAATTATACTTTTTTAATTTCTTGGAATGAATAGTTTCTTAAGGGGTATGTCCAAGCTAAAACACCATTTATTTTTGAATGATGAGAGTATGTTTTTTTTTTTAAGAAAATGCTTGTTTTAGATTTTTTGGTATTTGACCAAGCTTTTAATAAAAACAAATAAATATTTTAAAGAAAACATAGAAATTGTTTTTTGAAAATTTAAAATGGGAGCTTTTCTCCGTGAATATTCTATAAATCTTAGCCGATAAGAGGGGTTTTTCAAATAGTCAGATGGTAAATATCCTCCAACTTCAACTGTAATTTTTTGGGTTTAAGTTATCAAGAGAAGTAAAAAGGTGAGAACTACTAGAGAGGAAAAAAAGAAAAACAAAAAATAAATAACTTTCAAAATTTTGACCAAATATAAACTGCTAATCTAATATAGACAAAAGTGAAAACTTATTGATTAGCCAAATGTGCTAATCTTAAAAAAATATATCTAACAAAAATACTTTTCCAAATAACCTTATTTTAGGAACTTGGCCAAACTGATTCCTGACTTATTTTAGTGGCACAAATACATAAAATTCAAAACCAGTCCCATGATCGCCTTCGTAAGATAAAAATGAATAGATATTTTTATCTTAACCCAGATGACTCATATAGTCGGTCAAAAAATTCTTATTTTATTTCGCTTTTACTAAGTTATTTTTTTTTAATAAAAGTTATGGTCAGTAGCAACAATCATATAAATTGGGAATAATGATAATTTTGTTTCAAAATCATTTAACTATGCATAATAACAATGTGTTGATCACTTTACATTTTTTATGGTGTTTAAGAAATCAAACACCTTAGGAAAAAATTTGATTGAAAATTTTACAAATAAATGTGAATACTTTAAAAAAAAAAAAAAAAACTAATTGCGAAAATAATGTAATACGAGACTGAGGAAGTAGTTGTTATGATCATATTATTTACAATTTTGTTTGAGAATATTGATTTTGATATCTGAAAAAATGATAACAAATTTGTGAAAATTCTTATGATGTTGAGAAGGTGCCAATTGAAGAGCAGATTGAAGCACTTGAGTGGCTTCATGCCCAGAACCATCTCCTCCTCCCTCGCTGCTTCTTCTCCGGTCGAAGAGTTGCTTCTGAAATGTGCATCAACGGAGCTTCTTCTCATTCTAAATTGGTCAGTGTAGCTGGTGTCGGTTCAGCTGTCTTCTTTACTCATTTACGTCCCTTCTCATTAGACGATTGGCGTGCTATAAGAAGGTAATTTCATGCCTGCCCCCACTTCCTCAAATATGCACAATTCCCTTTTTTTTTGTTTGCATTGTGCTCCCCAATGCATGCACAAATTTTGTTTTGTTTGTACCCTAGCTTTGGGTTGGTGGTTTGCTTAGACTTGGGCAAGAATTGGTTCATCTGGATCTATTTTTAGCACAAGACTTTAGTTGAACTCATTGTTAATGTTCTGAACTATAGCAATCGTTTTATCTCTGCCAAAGGTTCCTCTCCAAGAAATGTCCACTAATTCGTGCTTATGGGGCAATCCGATTTGATGCAACAGCCGATATAGCTTCTGAATGGAGTGCTTTTGGCTCATTTTATTTCATGGTTCCTCAGGTAAATGAATCGACTTTCATCTCTTCATTGCTTGGGGTCTTTTTGTTAGACATATTGCCTCTTGAATATAATCCATCCATTGCTAGATGCTAAATGATAGGTTGAGTTTGATGAGCTTGAAGGAAGTTCAATTATTGCTGCAACTATTGCATGGGATAATGCTGCATCATGGACATACCAGAGGGCAATAGATGCACTTCAGGCAACAGTATGGCAGGTCTCCCCTTCTCGCTTCATTTAATCATTTTGGTTTGATTGTTTTTATTTTATTCTAATTTTTCTCCTTTCCTCATTAACTTTTCTTTTCAACTCTATGTTTATGAATGCAGCTTTCCTCCGTTCTTATAACAGTGCAGAAGAAAAATCCTCATTCACATATACTCGACAGTACTCATGTGCCGGGTAAAGCGTCTTGGGACAATGCGGTTAAGCGTGCTTTGCAAATAATAAGCAGAAATGACCCCGTACTGATCAAGGTTGTCAACCACTTGTGTTTTCTAATCACTTATGCTCTTCACCTTTGACCTTATATTTTACCAAAATATTGCTGTTTTACTGTAAAATAAAGTACTCCTATTTGTTATGGAGGACTATAGAAGTAGCCAAATATAATGAGATAATCTGATGCACACTTTAAGATATAGATTCATAATAAGTAAGTCTAGGTGTTTTGAAGTGCATACCTTTTCTTGGAACAGGTGGTACTTGCTCGTAGCACCAGAGTTGTGACAGCTGCAGATATTGATCCGCTAACATGGCTGGCTTGCTTAAAGGTGTTCATTACCCGCCTTATTTTTTTTGAATAGTTCACTAGCATATTATCTCTTACTTTTGATAAAATATTGAGGGTTAAGTTTGCAGGTTGAAGGAGAAAATGCATATCAGTTCTGTTTGCAACCTCCCCATTCGCCGGCATTCATTGGAAACACTGTAAGTCAGAAGGCTTTCTCAATAACTCAATGGTGTCATGAAACAATGTAAAAGGTGAAGTCCATGTAGTCAGTTTTAACTTTTATGTTCTTCAATTGATAGATCACATCAATTCTTTGGTGTGCATTCTATCAAAGTTCAAAGTAGTTGTTACCATAGATTATGGTGCATCAACCAGGTGAAATGAAATTATTTTCACATGAAGAAGAAGACTTTTGAATTGTTATATATTGCAGCTTTCGTTATATCATCTCATATATAAAGAGTTATTTTGACCAAAATATTAATTTCTGTGATGGTGTATCTGGTAAAGTCAAAAAAGAAATCTGTTAATTATGCTTAAATTTTAAAAATGTTCCAGTATGAAATCCTAAAGGTATCGCCTTTAATGTTGAAAGGATATGAAGTTAAATTTCCTGACCAGTGGCCACAACCATTTTTAAGCCTGATCACAACCATTCCAAATGCGCTCAAGAATTTCAGATTAGACTCTTATTAAATTTCTGACGACTGAGCTTTCTTAAAATTTGCTTTGACTATGACTGTAGTAAATACACAATTTGCTGATGGCAAGTCTGGCTGATTATTTGTACTGGTGACAGCTGGATTCTTGTGACGAATCATCTATTAAAAGTTGTAGTAATCAGAACCCGTACCCACCACCTTCTATTGATCCAAAGAGCATCAAGCTCACTTTTGAATCTCTCAAGTGCCAATTATTAGCCGTGGTAGCAAAAATACCTGGATCTTTTGTACACTTACTAGAAACGGTGAGGACATAGAATAATTTTATTTATTACTTATGCTCTTTTTGAATAGCCAGAGCAGCTATTTCATCGGGACCGCCTCAGCATTTGTAGTGAGGCTTTAGCTGGAACACGGGCTAGGGGTGGATCAGAGCTTCTGGATCTTAAGATAGAACAGGATTTACTATCCAGGTTCATCTTTCTGCTTTGTGTTCTATAAATAAAGCACTACGTCATTATCGTACTTATTTTTTATTGGTGTATTATTTACTATATTCTTATATTTTTTCACAGTGCTAAAGACCATAATGAGTTTGCTATAGTACGGGAGTGCATAAGAAGAAGATTGGAGGTAAGCTTGGTTAAATGGTTTCTGAACAGAATCTTAAGAAATTTCATTAGGGAAATAGAACTTTTGAGATCTCTAATTGGGGGATTGCACTTGTTCATTTTAGTTTGGTGACACGTACATTTAATTGACGTTTTTAAAATTTTGCATGTCAAACTTGAACCATTCCGGCACTGGAGTTTCTATAGTTCCTAATCCACTTTTAGGACATCTCAGGAACCCTTCATGTTGTATAAAACTAGTTGGAGCCTCTCTTAACATTATTTTGTTTCATAGGCTGTGTGTTCAAGCGTTTTAATTGAACCAAAGAAAGCAATAAGAAAATTTACAAGAGTTCAGCATCTTTACGCTCGATTGAGGGGGAGACTCCAAGCTGAAGATGATGAGGTAAGTCTTAACGTCTTCTATCCCATTCATTACTTACCGAGTTGTAGTTGATGCAGGGCCTTATGAGACTCTTTAGTGTAGACAGGGAAAGTTTGCATGACAGCCTTGTTTATGGTTTCTTCAAACTTTTGTTATTCCCCCTGATTGAGACAGGTGGAGTTGGTTTTCATTGTTCTTGAGGTGGATCGTATGTTTTATGAGAACCAAAACTGAATGAAGCATCTATTAGTATTTCATCAAACATTCTTCTTGAATTAGTTCATACTCACTCCCTTTAGTTGGCAAAAACTATAATTTTGAATCTCTATTATCCATAAAGATGTGCTGATGATATGTATAGGTCAATTTATTGCTTCCTCTATTCCTTCTATAAAGCACCAGACTAAGCATCTACAGTTTTCCAGTTTAAGATTTTGTCGTCCGTGCACCCTACTCCAGCAGTTTGTGGGTATCCTACAGAAGATGCACGGGCTTTTATTTCAGAAACTGGTATGTGCTAGTTGGTATACCTTTGCATGTTTGACTCTATTCTTGAACTAGCTAGCTCTTTGTGCACACCAAAATGATAGATAGCTACTTATCTGGGTTGAGAGAATTAAAAAAAATAAAGAATGGAAAATTGTAGGCTTGTAGCTAAAGGATCACGTTGTCCACTTATTATCTCAATCCACTTATGGAAAGCCAGATTCCTCTTGCTACAAAATGCTTATCTGTATCAACCCTAGGCTTCCATATGAGGCCTGGGCACTGGTACTTGGAAATGCTGTGATTAGTCATTACAATAAGCCTTTAATTAATGCGTAACTGTGAGAGAGTATTATCATTTTATGCAATGTCTTCATACAGACAGAATAATCAACTCAATGGCTTCTTGAACCTTGTGTTCTGGTATATGAGTTCTAACCAGCTGATGTTTCCCAGAAATGTTTGACCGAGGAATGTATGCTGGTCCTGTTGGTTGGTTTGGAGGGGAAGAGAGTGAATTTGCTGTTGGAATAAGGTCAGCTTTGGTTGAAAAGGTGAGGTTAATACTTCATAGCACTTCACCTTCATTCTAGAGTACATCTATTGCAACTTTGCAAAACTAGTTTGCATGCATGTGCTCCACAATATAGTAAGAATTTGCTGTTGGAATTTTAAAAAAAATAAGAATTAAAAAGCACATGATGAATATTTTTATGAGAGGCTAATTATTCAAGACTTAAGGTCTACTGATAAAAAAAAGAGGCTCATCCACATAAAAACTTGTATGATAGTTTAGTTTTCTGTCCAAATTTATTTTATTATTAAGTATCAATAAACTAGATAAGTTTCATATTTTTAGTTACCTTTACCTCAAAAATAAAGATAAGTTCCATGTTTATTGTTTCATATGTTAGGGAAAAAACCAATTTTATGTCTTAACTAATTTCTAGTCCAAATTTTATTGCACGCATATTTAATATATTCAAAATCTTATAAGATTAACATCAAATAATTTTTTTGTAACATTTATAGAATCAATTTTATATGCTTCTGACTTCATTTTTACAATTCCTTTTAGGAATCCAGTCTTACTTGACTTTGACACTTACAACAGATCTGGGATTGGATATAGGCACAAAATGCATCATTTTGTTTACTTTCTGCATAAGGCTTTCCAGTGAAACATATTTTATATATGGCATGCTGATGAAATGTAATAACTAGGGTCTTGGTGCATTAATTTATGCGGGAACTGGGATAGTGGAAGGAAGTGATTCATCTCTAGAATGGGAAGAGCTAGAGCTAAAGACTTCGCAGGTATCTTTAATAATTCTTTTCTATGCTATTAGACATGTCTTCTATTATCTAGAGTGTGAAGAGCTCCTCTACTCTCTGACAGCAATGACAACATAATCTTTTTTCTGCTGCATCTTTCTATCGTCTCCTGCAGTTCACCAAATTGATGAAACTTGAGGCACCTCTTTTGACTAGAGGACAAAGTAGGATTATCAATCAGAATCAGAAAGGTTTGTCATGCCTGCCACATCATCTTTATTGCCATCTTTTTACATTCCTTGTATGCAAATATCATCAACCTGTCATATGCGATTTTGGGATGCAAAAATAATCCAAATATTTATGATTTTACTCATTTTTTTGGATAATTCATTTGTTTGATCACTTTGATTTTGCAACTTACAAGCTACTCTAATTATTTTTGTGTGAGCAACTCTTTACAGATCTTACACTGATTGATTAACATTTTTGGCAATTTAGTGAGATGACATTTTCTTGGAGGAGAGATGACGTACGTCAATCATATGATATAATACCGTTATCTTCAGCTTTTGATAGCAAATCAGATATACGATTTAGCTTTCAGCTTTAGTTACCAAAATGCAAGAGAAATCAACACCCAAATTTTCATTCTTATTGTTTGTTCAATATTTATGTAATCAGTAGTTGCCTTAGCAAGCTTATGCCCTTCCATTGAAATAACACAAGAAGTAGAAAATTTGTATAAATGATTACCTTGTACAGATGTATATACTTTTTTTGTTAGTGGAACATCTGATTCCAAAACTAGGGATATTGGTGACAAAATACAGAAAACCTTCATGTTTGTGTTGTAGAAGAGTAATATCTATCTTTTACAAGAACACCTTGTTGTTCCTAATGTGTGATCATGAAAAATAGCCATATCAATTTACATTGCAGTTTTATTTGATTTGTCACTTTTTTACATTGATAGAAGGAAAAAGGACATTGTGTCGAGAATTCACAGAAGCACAGAGCATCAAAAACCTAAAAGCTTTTCCATCTTAGCTCACACTCATTCTCCCCTTCTACTTACCAGCATTGCATGTGAGAGGAGAAAGGGAGCAAACTGACTTTCTATAGTTTCAAGTCCTATTTCTATTCGTAACTTGGTGCAGACAAGCTCTAACAAGGCTTCCCCTCAATGCAGTTCAAAGAGCCTGAAAATCTTGTTTGCCTGCCCGCGTCTGAGCCTGCCCTGGGGTGGATCATATCAGGACCCGTCATGAATTTATGATTGCGATTTCCAGATTCCACAAAGAAGGCTCCGTTCATCATCAGATCTCCCTGTGATCTCCACACCCAATTCTTCCACACACTCTCAGGTGAATAATCCCTTTTGGTCACCTACAATAAAAGGTAAATGAGAATGAGCATGTATCTTCAACAAGAGTTAGTCACATGTAGTATTCTTGATTTGTTCATTCTTTTCATAGACACAAGATTGCGATGCAACCTTGTTGGTTATAGTTATTGTTAATCTTGTTTACCTCTTTAGCGTTAGGGTTAGGCGGGGCGATGAAACGGTTGCCCTGGCTGAGGATGGTAGGGTGTTGACTTCCACCAATGGCATACATTATCCAGTGAGTATAGTCATTGTTGACAGCATGAACAAATCCCCATCTCACTCTTGGCATCCTCTGGATCAGCCCTTGGCCAAAGTGATTAAAAGCAAGTGTTATTTGTAGGATTGCGTCCTGTTTGTAGCTGTCACTTGCCCCAAACAACATAACCTAAACAAAAACATATTGCAGATATTAAAACATTCTGGCTGTTTGCAGTCTCTGGTAGAAAATGTTATCAGTATATTGAATTTAAGCATTAATCCAGTTTTGGAGCTAATTTACGTCATTATGGTGGGTGAAATGGCAGTTGGAAATGGTAATAGCAGTTGAAGCCTGCACAGCATCAATGAGTCCATCATCACAATTAGACATGGAAACATGATCAATCCAAATGTTTGTTGATCCAAAGATTGAAATACCATCACCATCACTTCTTGTTCGAAAACCATAATGATTGATCGAGTCTCTAATTAGTCCACCATTACCAGACTTTATATCATGGATATGAAGACCATGAATAATCACATTGTTTATGTACTGTAACATCAAACTAGCACCACCAGTAATATGCACTTGTTGTCCTCTGGCATCAATTGTCTTGTCGCCTGTCATGATAAGTTCTTGGTTAAGCTTAATGACCATGTGATGTGCAAATATGATCCATAGTGGCCCTGGCTGAATGACTGAATGGCGCAGTGTCCCTGGCTTAGGATTCACCATATCGTTGTCCCCAGGGTCAGTTACTATGTAGATTTTGCCACCTTTACCACCAGTCGTATGGTGGCCAAATCCAAGAACACAATCTGCTAGCTTCTGGCGATTTTTAGCCCAATGTGGGTCACATCTCCAGCAACGATCAATAGGGTTAGTAGCCACACATGGACCATTGTACTTGTGCAAGTCCCTTCTTGTGCTATTGCTACCTTCTTCCGACCTTCAAATCAAAATAAGATGTACCATGAAAAAACTTGCTTAGGTGATCCTTTTACGTGTATATATATATATATATATTATATATTATTGAATCTCATCGTCGTAATGAAAGCTTCTAGTGTAACTAGTCGCAAAAGGTGTTCAAAAAATGTGAGAGGAAATACCTGTGAACATGTTTGTTCAAATTAGCTGCAACTTTTTCAGGATGAGGATTATAGGATTCTTTAGCATTTTTATTTGCTTGGGTGGCTCGAGTCCTCCACACCTCATCAAACTCTCCAATATTAGCCTCAATGCTAAAAACTAGTGTGCACAAAATTACAAAGAAACTCAACCTATTTTTGAGAGTTACCATTTTTCAATTATAGGTAGCTTTATTTGTAAACACATTCTTTTCTCTCTTTACTTAGAAAATATTCTGAGTTTTTGTTTAAATAAAAGTAAAAGGGAGAGGAAATGAGAATGAGAAACAATGAGGGAAAAGTGGGGAACCGTTTTCCCTCTTAACGGTCAACTGTTGGTCTACTGTTTTATCCAGAGATATTGGATGGTGTCTACGTAATTTTCATGGATTTTTTAATTGGTAATTATCATATCATCATATGAATAAGTGGAAGACAAAAATTTACAATGTAAACTTCTTAACATTCTTGTTTTAGCGCATCTTTTTCACCGCAATCTGCGTTGTTATATCCAAATTCGAAAGAGAATATTTAGGGGAGCCATTATTATTGCAAGATTTTTTTGGAAAGAATTCGTTAAGGATAACAAAAATTTAGGTAAAAAGATTACATTGAAAGGGTAAAAGCAAATTTCAAAAACTATTTTGGGTTCATTCCTAAACCAAATTTGTTTACTATGCAAGAGTTCAAGTACATTTCTCCGTCATATTAAACACCCCAAAAAATCAAAGTGCTTGGATTAACACAGGTATTAAGACAAGGATTAACAATGACCAAGTTAATTAAAATCTACTGCAAAAACTAGTTTACAAATTGTCACCGTGTCAATTGTCAACTGCAAGACATGCATTCCAAAACGACAAAACGGAAGCACGCCTGTTTGTTCTATTGAGTTTTTTTCAATGCTATTTTTTAAACTAATCAAAACCATATTCAAAGAGTAATAATCTAATACAGTGATATACTCAGCAGAGGCTTAACTAGCTTAGAGTACAGAAAACATGGGCTTGAACACTTGCCCAATAAATATATTATCGCGTATACTTTAAATAAATGAAAAGACAAGTCTGCATTCTTTCTCTGTGTCTCCTGTTGTAAAGCCAAGAGAATGGAAGCTCTAAATCAGTTTACTCACAACAAATGCAATCAACACCATAGATCTCATTTACCCATTAGTCCAATAGAATGTGACGCGGTTGAACTTGTCAGACTCTCCAACTGCATATTCAGCATAAACTGAAAACCAGGAGATATCAACCTCATGCTACATCGCCAGCCAGCCTGCAACATACTTGAGTATCAAAGAACTGCATTCTATCTAGAGAACTTCCGAGAGCTTCAAAACCAAAAGAATTGAGCAATAGAGTTATGCTTCTTAATTTTAAAATAGAGTGAAGGCATTCAAGTTCATCCATCAATCATGTACTTCACTGTTTGTCAATATCCTTAGACCCCTTGGTAGGATGACTGGGTAAAAGTAAGATAATGAAAGGAAAAGATTATCCAATTCATATATTGACGAGAGTCACAAAGGAATAAATTTTTAGCATGACCAGATAGACGGGATACCTATTTGCATAAATAGGGGATCTTGATGATGTCAAAAGTTTACTTATATAACTAGATAAAATTGTCAATAGAGTTCAGCTTCAGTGCATTTGAGAACTTCAAAACTGAATTTAATTTGAAATAATGCATAAACTTGTCGACAGGAGAAAGAAAGGATATCTACCCAAACACATAACCTACAAATAGCCATGAAAAAATTACCAGTCAATATCCTATTACCCATAAACTTACTATACAATGATATCGTGAATAGTCACAGTTTTCATTCCCACAGAGGGGAAAGAGACTAAACCAACAGTAGCCAAATTACCAAACCCAACTGCAAAAGCACAAAGTCTGTTTCATCTTCCATTTGACAACCTTCCATCAATATTATTCGTTTAGACTAAGCATATAAATACATGCGGAGACGCACAGGAGGACATTTTACCTGGTGGTGGCCAAAAATAAATATTGGTGGTACTTCCAAGCATCACAGGCAAAAAAAGTGTTAGCACAGAGGGAGGAAGGGGAGATGGTGGGCCCTATAATTCATCAAATAACTTAATTTTTTTTATAAACAAGAAATCCACGAGCCCTATCGCCACACAGCTCCAAATTCACAGATAGTGGGCCCGCCTTACTACCATTTTCCACTTGAATACCATACTTTATGCTGGCAAAAGGGTTCACACCTGTGGCATGCACCTATTCCACAGAATCCATATATAACTTATAACTTAATAAAGATATTAAACATGAATAATCCCAAGGCACAAGTACATTACATACCATAGTGGTTCTATTTACTTTGGGTTGCATTTGAATTGCACACATGTCCTATCTCTATCATACTCACTAATCTGTATGATTCAATATGGCTACCGAAGGTTCCAGATTCAATTTCACATCATCCCAAGATTAGCAATTTCACCACTAAGCTAGTCAATATCTATGAATGGCCAAGTTCTCATCATTCAAAGATTAGCAATTTTACCATCTTTCTAGGCTATTCAATATCTATGAATGGTCAAGTTCACATCATCCAAAGATTAGCAATTTTACCATCTTTTCGAGCAATTCAATATCTATGAATGGACCACAATCCACATCCAATATTTATCCCATGTTATCTTTCTTGATTAATAAAAGGAAACATATATTTACAAGGATATCAGCAGCGACAACTATAAATGTGTTACCATCTTCAATATTAACACTACGTTATGTGAGTTCTGCTACACAAATTTAAGAACTGAGAAACATGTATACAGATCATTAGACATCCTCCTGGAAAAATGAACTTAGGGATATGTTTAATACTTAAACCTACTTTAGGGCATTCCTAAAAAATGAACTTAGGGATACCACAGATCAAATTTAAGAATTAATTCCATGAAGAACTTAGAACAAGAAAAATAAGTGATAATACAACAAGTTTCAAGTTCAATCACAAACCTTTGTGTTTTGATTTTCAATGCCTCGGTCACATTTGACAAGATGCCACATATTTTT